TTCTTCAAGTTTATTTTAATGATTTCTTTTTGGATTCTCCCAGTCTTGAGCTGGGTGCAGTTAGGATTTTTTTGCAAAATATGTGGTGTTGGTTTTTAAATTTAGTTTATTGATCCATCTTCCTGAGGAAAATACAGCCTCCTGAGGAGAAAGCTGAGGCTGAGGCAGTATCAGCAACAATTTATCTTATGTGTTCCTGTCCTTCAATGTGATTAGCCTAGGTAGGACCAGCTTTTTGGTCTATATCCCAGTTAAGGAAAATTGCAGCAAACACTTGATTTCAGGACTTTTTTTTTTTTTTTTAGCTGAGCCATCCTGCTACCTGTTGGCAGCTCAGCGGCTGCTCAGCTTGGGCTGGACTCAAACCGCTGTTGCTCAGAGTTCAAACTCTTGAGCGAGCTCTTAACCAACTGAGCCACTAGGCTGGCCCTGATTTCAGGACTTTTTTAATTTGACAGTTTGCCTTTGGTTTCTTTAAAAATCTTTTTCTTGCTTTATTGAGATACAGCTTACATATAATACTGCGTAAGTTTAAGGTGTACAACATATTGATTTGATACACTGTACTTATATACTACAAAATGATTACCACCATGGCATTAGCTAACACCTCCATCCTGTCATATAATTACCATTAATTTTTTTGTGTGGTGAGAACATTTAAGATCTCTTGTAGAAACTTTCAAGTACATAATACATTATTGTTAACTGTAATTCCCATTTATTTTATTAGATCCTCAGAAATTATTCACCTTATAACTGGAAATTTATACCCAATGACCAACATTTCCTCATTTTCCCCCAACCCTCAGCCCCTGGCAACCACTATTCTATTCTGTTTCTATGAGTTTGATTTGTTAGCTTTCCCATATAAGTGAGCTCAAACAGTATTTGTCTTTATCTAGAGACTTATTTCACTTAGTATAATGCCCTTAAGGTCAGCCCGTGTTGTCCCAAATGGCAGCATTTCCTTCTTTGTCATGGTTGAATAATATTCAATTGTGTATATATACCACATCTTTATTCATCTGTAGACAGACACTTAAGTTGTTTCCAAATCTAGATTATTGTGAATAATGTTGCAATGAACATGGGGGTGCAGATATCTCTTTGAGATCCCGATTTTATTTCCTTTGGATAAAGACCCAGGATTGGGATTGCTGGATCATATGGTAGTTCTATTTTTAATTTTTTGAGGAGCCTTCATACTGTCTCCCATAGTATCTGTACCAATTTACATTCCCACCAACAATGCACAAGGGTTCCCTTTTCTCCACATCCTCACCAACACTTATCTGTTGTGTTTTGTGTTTTTGATGATAGACATTCTAACAGATGTGAGATCTCATTTTGATTTTAAGATAATCATAATTTCTCTGATGATTAGTGATGTCAAACATACCTGTTGCCCATTTGTATGTCTTTGGAAAAAAATGTCTTTTCAGGTCCTTTGCCCATTTGCTAATCAGATTTGGGGGTTTTTTAGGTATTGAGTTATATGAGTTCTTTATATATTTTGGATATTAATCCCTTGTCAGATACATGATTTGCAAATAATTTCTTTCATTCCATTGATCGCTTTTTAATTTTGATGATTGGTTCTTTTGCTGTGCAGAAGCTTTTTAGTGTGCTGTGACTCCACTTTTGTTGCTTGTGCTTTTTGTTGTCATATCCAAAAAGCATTGCCAAGACCAATGTCAAGGAGCTATTGCCCCATGTTTTCTAGGAGTTTTATGGTTTCAGGTCTTATGTTTAAATCTTTAACCCATTTTGAGTTCATTTTAATGAGTGGTGTAATTTAGGGATCTAATTTCATTATTGTGTGTGTAATTTTTCACTTTTTCCAGTACCGTTTATTGAAGAAACTATCCTTTCCCCCATTGAGTATTCATGACACCCTTGTCAAATATTAGTTGACCATATATGCATGGGTTTATTCCTGTGCCCTTGATTCTGTTTTATTGGTCTGTGTGTCTGTTTTTATGCCAGTACCATATTGTTTTGACTACTGTAGCTTTATACTATAGTTTGAAATCAGGAAAGTGATGCATCCAGCTTTGTTCTTCTTCCACAGGGTTGTTTTGAGTATTCAGGGTCTTTTGTGGTTCTGTACAAATCTAAAAAAATAAAATTTTTGTAAAAATTTCTGTGAAAAAATCCATTGGATTTGATAAGGGTTGCCACTGAATCTGTAGATGGCTTTGGGAAATGTAGACATTTTAAACAATTTTAATTCTTGTGACCCATGAACACAGGATATCTTACCATTTGTTTGTTTCTTCTTCCATTTCTTTCATCCAAGTCTTGTAGTTTTCATTGTACAGATCTTTTACTTCCTTGGTTAAATTTATTCCTAAGTATTTTTTGTTTATGGTGCTATTGGGAATGGGATTGTTTTCTTTATTTCTTTTATAGATATTTAATTGTTAGTGTATATATGCAGTTGATTGCTGTATATTGATTTTGTGTCCTGCAACTCTGTTGAATTAATTGACAAGTTCTAATAGTTTTTTGGTGGAGTCTTTACAGTTGTCTGTATATAAAATCATATCATCTGCGAACAAAGACAATTTTACTTCCTCCTTTCTGATTTGGATGCCTTTTATTTCTTTTTCTTGCCTGATTGCTCTGGTTAGGACTTCCAGTACTACATGTTGCCTTGTTCCTGATCTTAGAGGAAAAGCTTTCAGTCTTTCAACATTGAGTATGATTTTAGTTGTGGGCTTACCATATATGCTGTTTATTACGTTAAGATATATTCTACACTCAATTTGTTGGGAGGTTTTAACATGAAATGATGTGTTGTTCTGTTTTTTCACATGCCTTTTCTGCATCTGTTGAGATGACCATGTGATTTTTATCCTTCATTCTGATAATGTGGTGTATCATATTTATTGATTTGTGTATCCCAGGATACACATTCCTGCATCCCAGGAATAAATCCCACTTCATCATGGTTTATGATTCTTTTAACATGTTATTGATTTGGCTTACTAATCTTTTGTTGAGAATTTGCATCTATATTTTTCATGGATAATGGTCTGTAGTTGTCTCTTCCTGTAGTATCCTTATTTGGTTTTTCAATCAGGGTAATGAGCCAGGAGTGTCCCTCCACTTCAGTTTTTTTTTTTTGCCCACCAAGGAGTTTTAAGCAATTTATATTTCTACCAACAATTTCTGCCAACATAGTCTATTGGCATTTTAAAAATCTTTCCCAAATTGTAGGTGCAAAATAACGTATGGTAGTTTGAATTTGCATTTCATTTATGATTTTTTAAGATTTTTATTGGGGAGTTGGGGAAGGGGAACAGTCATGCAGCTCAGTCATGCAGCTCAGACTTCAGTATTCTGGATAGGGCAAGAGAGAAATGAGCCTCTTTGGCATTATCCTGTACAGCTAGGAAGCCATGTGCTCACTCACACACACTCACTTTTCTCTGTGGATGAGACCATGGGCCAAGAGAATCTCTCATGGCCCTAAGCTTTGCCACTTTGGGGGAGAGAAGATGCAAGTAAAGTCAAACTATCCCTCTTACCATCTCTGATTAGTCCAAGCTCATTTTTTGCTTCAGTGGTGTGCTGGAACTTCTCTGCTAGAGACCTGGACTTTTACAAAGGCTCTGTCACCCGTGGATGATTGTCTAAAGACAGTTTTTTCCAGGGGCTCCTGGACCATGACCAAGAGGGACCAGAGTTGGTTCATGAGCTGATGAAGGGTCCATAGCTGGGACTGAGGTCTGGATGCCTATTACCCAATGCATGGGTAGACAAGACTTCCCCCCAAGCCCCTTGGCATATGGTGGTGGATTCCACAGCTCCCACAAAGGCACTTTTGCCTACGGATGGATGCCAAATTGTTGTTGTTGGGGAGCGGGGAGCAAATGAGGGATGTATTATTCAGTCATAATCACCTTTGGTTTCTTAAGCCTGTTTGTTTCAAAGGCCTTGATCTTCAGCAGAAAAGTGTTCCAAAAGAGGATTTTCCATTAATCCCATAGCCTACTCTGAACCCTTAGTGTTAGTGGATATTCATGTTCATAGGGTCCTTTTAGGACCTAGAAATAAATTCTTAGCAACAGTGATTGTGAATTAGCTCCTGGTGACTTTTTTTTATCTCACCCGTCTCTCATAGAAATTCCTCAAAGGGCAGGAAATATGTTCTAATACTGTTGAAGGTTTTTTTCTTCTGTTATATTCTTTTGGACACTTCAGTTTTTAACTAGGAAAATGTATTATATTTCTAATATTCAAATCATATTGCTTTTAAGAAATTTGTCACCAGCATCTCATTTTTGAAAGTTATTCTAAAGGTTTTTAAATAATGTTTTCTCATAGTTCTTTTTGTAATGCTAGTTCAGAGCATTTGAAAAACTTTATTAATGAATCTTTTTTTCTTTGTTGGTATTTGTGTGATTCTGTAGCCCTCTTTTTTCAATATGTGTGAACTCTGAGCAGTCATATCCGTTTTCATGGCTGCAGATACCTAGTATAGGCTTATGAACAATAAATCCTCATTTCATTGTTGATTTCTCCTGATCTAATGAACAATATGTCCAACTGCTCAATCAATGTACATCTCTAGTTGGATGTCCTACCGTACTACAAATTTTGCATATCCTTCTCTCCCTGCTTCTGCTTCCATCCAAATCCTGTCTCCATTTTTTTCCTGCCTCATTGAATCACAGGCATCTAGTGAGTTCCCAAACCAGTTAACCTGAGTCAAGTTTTATATTGCCGCCATCTTCCACATTCAGTATAAATTCGTCCCTGAGATCTCTTTAACCTATGGTGGTTATTAAAGATATGTGCTTGCTAATTCAGTGAATGAACATAAACTGACAGGATGTTGCTAATATGATGTTTTTTCTTTTAGAAAATAACAAAACCAGGTACATTTTTTTTATAACCTCTCACCTGTGCATACCATGAGAACACAGTTCAGTATGTTTTGCAGCATCTAAGATGGATGACTTCAGATTGATAGGAGTGTGTTGTTACAGGGAACAGTGACATTCAGAGATGTGGCTATTGACTTTACCCAGGAAGAGTGGCAGCAGTTGGATCCTGCTCAAAGGAACCTGTACCGGAGTGTGATGCTGGAAAACTATAACAACTTAATCACAGTGGGTAAGGATAGTTTCCTGTATAATCCAAATCCTGGGAATAAAGTTGCTTTCCCCCCCTAATTTTCTGAAGTGTGTGGAACCTGTAAATGTTCGAGTGAATTTGGCCTTTAGATGCCTTCGCTTATGTGAATGTGTATGCTGCAGCTTTCAAAAAATAAGGTCCTCTTTGGTTACAATTCAGGGGGCAGCATCCCCAGAAACCACATTTTTCTTGTCCTTCAGAAATCCTGGTTTCCCTGTGCCAGCCTAAATTCTTGAATGATTCTTTATTCTAGTATTTATGCCTCAATCTTACGTGATTCCCCTTTGACAGGCTGTCCATTCACCAAACCTGATGTGATTTTCAAATTGGAGCAAGAAAAAGAACCATGGGTGGTGGAGGAAGAAATGTTACGGAGACACTGTCCAGGTTAGTGAGAGGGAACCAGACAGATGAGGAGGGGCCAGAACCTTTTAATAGTTAATCCATGGATCATTGATGCCTCTGAAATGTTCTTCAAAGATATTTTCCTAAAGACTGTAGACTTTTATAGTGACAATTGTTATAAATTGTTAGTAGAAATATAAACTGTTAAAATTTCCTTAGTGGGCAAAGAAAGACTTGGCAATACCTATAAAATTAGAATTACATGTATGTATGTGTATGCATGTATATATGTGTATCATATATACACGCATCACACATATACACAACTACAAGCATACATACATGACAAATGTAGCAGAAAATGAGATGTCATTTCTAGATAAGATTCTTAACTTCTTTCCTCAGAACTCCTTTCCAAGGAACTTGAAAGGACCAGTTGGCCTTTTCACCCGTGTGTTAGATATCAGTATTTTGTAACTCGTCTCCAGCTTTACTTTGATAATCATTCTGTTTTTGGTATCTTAGTTACATAGGATCCTTCCTTTCAGATATTCATGGAATTATGGTTGTTCAAATAAATGTGTTAACATTTTTATTCTTTTACTTTCTGCTTTCTTTTGTTCCTTCCATTGTAAACGCCTTAGCATCATATTTTGTACACATAGTCATACTTCCCACTGTTTTTTAGCTTTTGCTCTCATACTTGAGTAATGGCTACAACACTTTTACTTCAAGAAAAGTTTTAAAGACAATGCTACTTTTCTGATAGCTCCCGTTTCCTGCTACATTTGTCATATATATATGCTTGTATTTGTGTGTATATGTGTGATGTGTGTATACACACACATATACATATATATAGACATGCATACACATATATACGTTTATACAAATACGTGTATTTCTAATTTTAGTTTGAATTTGCATTTCCTTTATGATGAGTGAAGGCAAGCATCTTTCCATATTTTTAAAATCTGTATGTCTTTCTTTATGAACAGGTTGTATCTTTTGCCCTTTTTTCTGTTGAGTTGTAATTTTATCAACTTTTAACATACAATGTGATTAGCCCTTTATATATCATAAGCTTTTCTAGTATTTTTTCACAATGGGTCATTTGAAGTACAATTCCTCTTTGATGTAGTTTTTCCCACCTTGAGTTTTTTAATGTTCGTGTAGTTAAAGTAACAGTCTTTTCTTACAGGAAATTATCATATGATTTTTTTTTTCCTTTTATGTGTATGAGTGAATTGTTTACATATTTCTTAATAATGACTCATCCTCACATTTTTGCTATGAATTTAAATAATTGTTAATTTTCAGGCTTTGAAGTCAATGTTACATTGGTTTCATAAATAGAATTTGGAAGCTTTCTTTTATATTCTGGAACACTTAATAGCATTGGCATATAAGTCCCTTAAATTCTTGGTTTATCTTACCTGTTGAACCAGCTATTTGGGCCTTGTAGATTATTGAGGGAAGGTTCTTTGACTTTTTTTTTTAATAAGCTATTTTTATTTATTTATTTATTTATTTATTTATTAAAGATTTTTATTGGGGAATTGGGGGATGGGAACAGCACTGGGGAATCGGGGGAAGGAGAACAGACAAGTTGCTGTCATTTTGTTCTTCAGTCTAGTTGTGGAGGACGTTGCTTCACTGGCCCAAGTTGGCACCATCATTGCGCTCTTCCTGGGTGAGGCACATCAGTCGCCGGATTTTGGTTGGCCGCTCACAGCGGGTGCTGGCCACTCACGCTGGCTGCTGGCTACACACGGTAGCCCATGGCAACCCACTGCAGCAGGGGCTGCAGCCTACGCCGTCGCCGGCGACTCTTGGCAGCCCAGCTCCAGGTTGAGCTGTTGTTCAGCATCTTAGCTGTAGAGGGCAGTGTCACTGGCCCTCATATGTGGGATCCGAACCGGGGCCCTCTGGCGTCCCAAGCCAGCTCTCAACCAGTGCGCCACTTAGCCAGCCCTGACATTTTTTTCCATTATTCCTTTTGTAACTCTTCTATGTAGGTGTTTTATGCATTTTGGCATTAATATTTGATAACAGGTTATATTTTTCCAGAAAATTATGTGTTTAATCCTGGTTTTCAAATTAATTTTGACAGAGTTGAACAACATAATTTCCATAAATATTTGTTTCTTCTGTTTCTGTAAACATTTACTATATATTGATGTTTCAGGTCATCTGTTATGTTTAACAATTTATTTCATATGCATTTTCAAACCTGTTGCTATAAGATTACCCATAATGTTCTCTTCTTATTTATGTTTTCCACTAATTGTGCAAATTTCTCAGCCAACCCTAGTCAAATATTGGCTCTCCTTCATTCTCTCTACACTCTACTCCTGGGACTCCTTTTAGTTATATTCCAGACCTTCTTATTTTTCCTCCATATATATTTTTTCAGTTCCTTTGCTATGTTCTACTTCCCTACCTCTCTGTGTTGCCTTGTCAGTAATTACTTCAGATATATCTTCCAGTTATAATCCTCTCTTCACCTCTTTTATTCATCTTTTTAACTCATCTACTCTAAAAAAATTTTTTCAGTAGTAGTATTTTGTATTTTTAGAAATTTCTTTTTTTTTTTGCTTTGCTTTTCACATCTTTCTTGTCCTTTCTAATAATTTCAACTTTGTGTTTTTATCCTTTGCCTCTTTAAAAATACTGTACATCACTCTTCTGTATTTTGTATCTGACAATTCTAATATTTTAAGTCCTCAGATTTAAGTATCCTGTTTTCAGTGACTCACTTATACTTGCTTGTTCACGTGCTTGATGATTGCTGACTGTGAATTCAAATTTTAAAATCTTAGTTTCTGGTAATGTTATTGTCCTAATAAATTGGGTTGCTTTCTTCTGAAGATGATTTGCATATGCCTCTGGTGGGTGCCAACAAATATTACCAAGTGAGGACCAGTTGAATGTTCTTTGAAGGAGGTCCTGACTTCTTGTAGGAACCTCAGTTGAGTTTCCCCTGCTTATTGCTGGCCCAAAGCTTATGATTCACTTAACAGGATTTTTGTTTACATGGGTACTCAAGTCACACCCATTCTTCAGCTTACTTTCTAGTTCCCTCTCTCAGACCTGGTTTTGGCTAATAGTTGTTTTTTGTTTGTTTGTTTGTTTTAATTTTTTATGTATGGTGCTCAGGTATCATTGGTGGAAAGTATTGAGGTGTTCTTGGAAGACGTATGCTACTTCCTATAAGCTCAGGGATGCATGTTATTTTCTGTTTTATTCTTGTTGTTTTGCAATGTGAGGTTACCCTACCATAATTTCAATGCTAAAAGTCCTAACTAGTCTCTATCTCTCTCTTTTCTCCCTCATTTGCACGGTGTTCTTTGTGTCAGGTGGCTTTATTTTTCTCTTCCATTTCTTTCCTTGGTTCTGCCATTTAATTGTTTTTAATCCCTTTTTGTTGTCTCATTGTTTCTTCTTCATGTGTTTATACTTTGAGCTCCTGATTTATAAGTGCTATTTTCATTAACTTTTTTCATTCATGACAATACATTTAGTCAAGATTTTCATTTACTATGTGCCATAATTGTTTTCACTTGTTATTTTTGTCTGCTTTCTTTATATTGTATTTCTATTCTTTTTTTTTCTTGTAATATATATTTTTAATAGTTTAAAAAATTGTTTTATTGGGGAACAGTGTATTTTTCCAGGACCCATCAGCTCCAAGTAAAGTAGTTGTTTCAATCTAGTTGTGGAGGGCGCATCTCAGTGGCCCATGTGGAAATTGAACCAGCAACCTTGGTGTTACAAGCACTACACTCTAACCAACTGAGCTAACCAGCTGCCCTCTTGTAATATTTTTTATAGATCTGATATCAACACCTTCTCATTTTTAAGGATAGTTCATCCTTGACCTGCTTTAAAGAAGGGTGATGTTGGGGAAGTGAAATGAGTGCTCTGATCTAGAGCAGGGATTAGCAAACTATGGCCTGTATGTCAGCCGCTTGTTTTTGGTAAATAAACTTTCATTGGAACACAGCCACACACAATCATTTACATCTTGTCTATGACTGCTTTAACATTACAACAGCAAAGTTGAATAGTTGCATCAAAAACTATATGATCTGGGCCAGCCGAGTGGCGCGATGGTTAAGAACTGGCTTGGGATGCCAGAGGGCCCCGGTTCGCATCCCACATATGAGGGCCAGTGACACTGCCCTCCACAGCTAAGATGCTGAACAACAGCTCAACCTGGAGCTGGGCTGC